CTGTTGCTGGATTACCGTACGCCAGTGATTGCGCGATAATACTGGCGTTCGCTACGCCGCGCACAAGTTCACACCACTCGATTAACGTTACGCTAGCGTAAGTCGTTGTGTCTGAACATAGCCTCAAGTTCGTTTTAACAATACCGGGGATAAGGGTTATCAAGCTCGTATGATAAGCCTATACTAGCAGCACAGACAACCGTATGGTTTATTGCTAGCAGTGGATCATTCATTTAATATTATTCAAATTCAATAAAGTTTATTTCCACATCATCAATACAAAATACATAGACAGAACATTTGAATAAAGTTGAAAAAGGGTCGCTATTGACTCAACGTAATTTGATAATTTTAGTTCTTGAGCAGGAGGTGGATGCTACGCCCGAAGGTGGTGGATGTGGGCCACTAGGGTGAGGGTATACCTGCTGTTGTAGGGGATTGGAGACCGGCGGAGTGAAGTGTGACGGTTGAACAACTGCCGGAGCAGGCTTGGTTTGTTCTGAAAAAAAAATGATATGTTACAAATCACACGATAAAAATAATTGTGGAGAAACACCACCATACTGATAAATATAAAGTATAGGCCTATAGAATTTTTTTTAATGTATGTTACTAGGCCTATATTTTTGAACAAGGCATTGCCTCTTTCGGTACGATAAGTTGGTTTGGAAGCGGTACCGGCTGGCGCCTTGAATGCGCTCGGTCTCTCAAACTTAAGGTCGGAGGTTCGATGGATCTTTGCTATGAATTTCGCTTGTGTCCTTGGGCTCAAAATGCAATTCAAAAGGCGTCGGGGGATCAAAAAGCAATTCTGTAATTTGCAACATCCAGTCGCTTCAAAATAGGGCTCTTAGACTTGTTTTATAATATGTTCATCATTTTACCTCGTCAATTCTCATGGCTTCACTTTTTGCTTTAAATGTATCCAATAGTATTACTCCTCAATTAGGTTGCTGCTACAGCAGGTAACGCACCCGATTTTCTTTTTAAAATAATTAGCAAAATTGATATTCGGACCGTATAGGGGATCCACTAATGGTATGTTTTTTGTTCCTCGTCCCCACCTTCAATATTTTAAAAATAGTTTTTATTACAAAGGCACATCCTTTCTTAATTCATTATCTTTTCTTGATCTTAACGTTTCCTAAAGTCCAAACTTATATCCCTTTTAAATAAAAATTAGCAATTCTTTGCTTTTTAGTAGTTTTAACTTTTTTATCTTTTGATATTTTAAAGTTTCTGAGTGCAATGTATATTTTTGCAATTGTATTTTTACCTCTTTTTGATGTTTTTCCTGTTTTTGAATGCAATTCGTTGTTCGTGCAACTTTTGGATTTTAACTTTGGAATTGTATGTATTTCTTGCAATTTTAAATTCTCTCATAGGCCTATTTGTATTCTCTGAAGAATTTTATATCTGTATTTTGAATTGTTGTGGGAAGTTCAAGTCAGCATTGCTGTTAGAGCCACCCTCTCAAAATATTGTTGAACAAATAAAATAATCCCATTTTTTGTCTAAGTAGGTTCTTTTTAAATGAATTCTCAGTAACGTATATTAAAGAGATATACTTACGTGTGACTACGAATGTAGTCACCGGTCTAGTGGTCTTGGTTTTCTGAGCGCAGCAGCAGCCGCCACACACACAACATGCTATAATGCCACCAACAATACCAAGCACAATGAGGATGCTGATTACAATGACCACAATGATCGCAGTGCTAATACCGCTGAAAAAATATACCGGTACCATAAGAATTTACACAACACAAAGATAACAACACAAATACTGTATTTTAACACTTAAAATTCAATTACAAAATTCTTTTTCCATCTTTTCCAAGTCCATCTTATCGTTATTTTTTATATTTTGATGTTTGTTTTATTTTTTGCCCTTTTTAACTATACTATAGTTTCAATTTGTCAAATCTTGTCTGTATTAATCTGTAAAACAGGACACTGAAAAAAAACCCCATTTAAAACGTTAGAATAGACCTGCCTGGTCTGGGTTGAACCAAGCTGAACTAACCAACGGATCGTGTACAGTACACTGTTTGGTTCCTTTTACTTTTGGTTGGGCAATCCAGCCACGTGTGTTATTTATTTTTTGGTGCTTGATTGTACTTTGTTTAATGTTTATTGTTGGTGAAATAAATAATATGATATGATACTAGTTCACTATAAAGTACTTACTCGGGTATATCATTATCTGAGTCATCTGATGAGCCTGTACCATAATAATCATCAAATTTGCAACAGTTGAAGCTACCAGATGACCCACAGCAATATAAATCATACCGGTTCCGGTAAACCCCATCGTAATAATCTGGGCATGTCTTCTCAACATTGCCATAGTAATCAATACAGTCGAAAGTATACCCTGTAAACAAGAAATGACAATTTACGAATTTAAAAAGGTGGAGGTTAGATTTTTTTTTATTGTTCTGTACATAAAAATTAAAGATTGAAATGACAACTTGTGCTTATGAATGAGAGTCTAACATGAAGAGTCAAGCATAACGCTTGTAAACGCTTGTAAAGATTTTATTTCATTTAAAGAATCTGTTTTATGGGATACGGGGCATAGGCCTAAAATTTTACTTGGAAAGGGTGGAAAGTAGCATTACAGGAATGTTTGTACCAAATGCTCAATAATAATAATAATAATAATAATAATAATAATAATAATAATAATAATAATAATAATAATAATAATAATAATAATAATATAATGGTGTAATAGTCTTAAAGTTGTTATATACCGCCTGGCCTTCTTTCTTCCCCACCCCTCATCTGACACTTCCTGTCCCATCACCAGTAGCAACACTGTCATCCTATCACATGTTGTTGCTGAGTCATAATCTTCATTATCATCTGAGAAAACCAATCAATAGTTTTCCCTTTAAATCCATTTATACAGGTATGTCATAATTCTTTATCCAATGTTTTACATCTTAAGACACCATTTTTCATATATTTTTATGTTTTAACTTGTATTAATCATGCTTTATTTTAAAGAAATAATAGTTTACTTTTCATTGAATAGCCCAGTGCTTTGTTTTAAGTGTCAGTATCCAAAGATTTATCGTAGATGATTAGTTTACCATCCAAGGTCACACTATGACCCTGTTCATGGGTGCTGTCTCTGGAATGCTGGACTATAGCTAGTGTAAAGTAACCACATATTTTATATTTAGATTTAACCTTACCTCATTTAATCATGATTTCTTTATGGTCGTTTAATGTATTTTAACATGAATAGAATGACAATATAATGGCAATAATGTTACTGTCATGTGAATGTATAATCGGTGCTTCACAGTGATGTTTTATGGTTTTATACTGATATGATTAGGAGTAAACTGCTCTAAATAGGAAGTTTATATTTCTTTTGATACTAAATTGTTAACTTGTTTAATTGTATTCACATACAATTAAAAACCATTGAATTAGTTAATTGATTAAAGGAACCTAATCTCAGGCATTATATATCGTGTTATACACAGAGGGTTAGCTTTCTCCTGTATGATTATGCCTGTTTGTTTAGTGAAGCATTCGCTGACTTTAAAGCTATTATTTCGTGTTCCTTAAAACTCGATTTATTATGAACTTAATGTTTATAAAAAGCTTTAATACATTCGTTATTATTATTATTTTCGATGTTAAATATTGTAGAACATGTTTCTTATTAGAATTTAGATATAGTTCATAGTTGCCTTGACGTTTAATAGTGCTGTACAGCTAATGTTGAAACTTTCACAAGCATTATCTTGACAAATTATTACCAACTGACCGAACGGAGGGTTATTGTATTGTAGTGTACTTGCGTTGCACTAAGATAAGCGATTAATTAGTCTGTAATTTTAAGCTTTATGCACGATAGGCTTATTATTATTTAATACAGTTGATCATTGATTTAGAACATATCGCAAGATACCCTGTATTAACAATTCAAGTACTCAATACGTTTTAGTATTTTAACATTAACGTTTTTTGTGTCCGATTTATCATATTTGATACTTTAATTCTGTTGCTTTAATAATTTGTTTTGATTCGATTATGATATGTTTAAACGTGTCATCATATTGAGAATACTGTCATCCTATCACATGTTGTTGCTGAGTCATAATCTTCATTATCATCTGAGAAAACTAATCAATAGTTCTCCCTTTAAATCCATTTATACAGATACAAGAATTAAAGTTTGCTATCAAAGTTTTACAAGTCAAGCGAAGTCTGTATTATTTTAGTGTGCAACAACGCGAATAAACACCCCCACGGTAGATCGTATCCATCAACTGCAGAATAACCGTAACATTATTATTATTATTATTATTATTATTATTATTATTATTATTATTATTATTATTATTATTATTATTATTATTATTCTTTAAATATTAGTGTATATATACATATATAAATATATAATGTACGCCTATGATCAGATTATTATACAGTGCTCAAATTATGTAGGGGCATGATGTTATAAATTGTATCAAAATAGTTCATTTACGAAAGTTCATTATTATATTTGTATCAAAAAATACAACACAAATATAACACAATACAAATTAATATAAGAAGTTATATCGAAGTGTTTACCTGAATTAATCCCGAAACATAAAAGACAGAAAATCGTTACAAGATAATGTTCCAAACTGACATCCATTTTTAGTTCCTTTATAGTCCGTCTCTTGTCTCGCAGTGACGTGCGCAGTTTTAGCGCTATATATCAGTAGGTAATAATTAGAGTTCCTGTATCAGGAACTCTAGTAATACCATAGAGCTATTAAACAACTGGAGTGCTGACAAGATGGCGGAGCAATGCAGAGTTGTGTATGTGTACCATCCAAGATGGCTGCCGTAGGAAAGCGCCACCTTCAGGCTTAGTATACATATTATGACCATAAATAAGCCCCCTGACTGAATATTATTTCATTAATGATAATTAGTATTGATAATCGACAAATTATTAAACTGTCGTAGCCAAAATGAGGCCAAGTAGAGCATCTTATTCAAATATTAAAAAGAATTAAAATCGTGTACATTACACCCATACACCGCAACGCTCGAGTTTCAAAATACGGGTAACTAGCTGTACTGAACTTTCTGTGTAAACTGAGGGCGCAATTGAAAATGATGGTGCTCAGGGGAAATTTGATTGGCTGAATCTATGGCAGCCATCTTGGATGGTACACACAGCTCTGCGTATTTCGAACATCAAATACATTGCTGTTAGCGCTCTAGTATTCTTATTATATCTCTATGAGTAATACTAAAGGCACCGCTCAGGTTCGTTTGTTTCCTGTAGTTTCTCCACTTAGTCAAATGGTCAAATTTTAACCCGCTCTCGAGAGGGCAGCTGTTCCATCGATTTTAATGCTCATTCTTCTGCTATTTAAGTTCTTTGATATTATGTGAAAATATTCATCGGGTTTGTAGAATTCTCACACGGTTAACATTGTTTCAAACTCGTTCTAAACAGTGCGCGCACTATTCAAACTGAGCATGGTTTCTTTCAGCAATTGTTTAAATTAAAATGTTGAACTGTATATCTAGCGTGCGTGTAAAATATTTGCAGCGCGTTTTTACGATCCATTTTTGCTTTATTCCAATTTAATAATTATTAAAATGTGATGTATTATGTATGTTTTATATTCCTAGTGTAAGTATAAGCTTGAATAGGACCATATGAACAAATGAAAAACAGGATATAACAACCTGATATGTTTAATCCTGTATAAATATGTTTGAAATAAAAAAATTTTTAAATTTAAAATGTTACATTTAAATGTATTTAATTTAGTAATACTAATTAACTTATTATTAAAGTCAGACTCCGGAGGAAAAAACGTTTTTGATATGTTGTAGAACTGATTTTTTCTAAGACAGATAAATGTTGTTTGACGAAAAACTGGGGAACAGTAAATGAGATACATATTTTTGAATTTAAAAACTGGGAAAAACAGGTGTAAAAAGGGATTTTTCCCCCAGTTTTGAAACATTAATGTACCACTAAAGTATATGTTCAGTAAATCCGTAATTACGAATTACTAATCCGTTATTACGGATAACTAATTTGTTATTACGAATTAACTAATCCGTTATTACTGATTACTAATTCGTTACTACGAATTAACTAATTCGGTATTACTTACTACTAATTCGTTATTACGGATTGCTAATTCGTTATTACAGATTATTAATTCGTAATTACAGATTATTAATTCGTTATTACGGATTAACTAATTCGCTATTACAGATTATTAATTCGTTCTTAATTATTTCTGATGTATATTTGTCACATAAAACTTGACAGAGTTTTAAAAAAGCGGTTTCTTGTATTTTTGTGATAAGCTCTTCAGTGGAGTAAATAAACATACCGTAATACAGACCAAAATCATTATGTTCGTATACAAACATCAGGTTCTATCAGTAATATAGAAATTACAAAGAAATACAATGTAACAGCCCCCAATAATAACATTGTGTATTAAAACTGACTTTTATAAATCTTCCAATTATCTAATTTTTACCTACCTGTCATTTGGGGCCATTTTTACCGGGGCCATTTTTTCCGAGACCATTCTTTCAAGGACCATTTTTTCCGGGGCTTTTTTTACCGCCCACCCGTCAAAAACTTCATCATCTGCCGCCGCAGTGATGGCGACAGGACCTGCCCGATGGAGGGGCTAAAGGTCTCGACCGGGGGTAGGCTAGTGGAGCGAATCGAGTCTCACTTGGCGGGGGCCAGGGGGCCGCCTATGGCCCCTGGTGGAGGTCCAGTGGGATGGGCCCCTGGTGGAGGCCACGGATATTTGACGAATTATGGCGAATTTTTATTACTTATTTGATAGGCATCGAGCTACTATAATATGACTTCATGTAGGCTATATTTTTTTATGTCGAAATCAGCTTCCGAAACATTTTGAATAAAACAAGAAACAAAGAGTATGCAATGTAATTAATTTATTTTCAAATCCTCTTACTTGAAAGTGAAATTCTACATTTTGGAAATTTTGCATGAAATCTGTCAACCACGCTGTCAAGGTCGAGGTTGCTTCACCTATCACGATGTATTCCAAGCATCGTGAGGCTATCCAAACGAGCACTTGTCATAACAGAACGCCAATTATTTTTAATTAGTCTCATTGAACTATTATTATTATTATTATTATTATTATTATTATTATTATTATTATTATTATTATTATTATTATTATTCACCACTGATCTGCCGCTTAATCGTCGTCTTCAAACAGATCAGACAGAAAGTCTAAACAGCTCCAACAAATTCTCATGATGCTTATGATTTGAGTCAGTACATTTTAGCTTTCATCGGAACATTCCGAAGGTGGATCTGCAACACCCGGAAGTGGATACTTAGCTTCAGCTGCAGGTGGATTTGCTACGCACGGAGGTGGATTACTTGCTTCGCCTGCAGGTGGATACGCAGCTCCAGCTGCTGCTGGATATGCGCCACCAGGCAGAGGGTATACCTGCTGTTGTCGGGGATAGCCGCCCTGCTGAGTGAAGCCTGGCTGTTGAACAAATACTTGACTATGCTAGGTATCAAATTCTGAAAAAAAATTATATGTTACTATAAATCACACGATAGAAGTCTTGAAATGGGGGTGGGCCTGTCAAATCGTGGAAAATCGACGTATCGCATGAAAATTCAATACGACGGTTTCCTGTCCAACATTGCTTTTCGACGATTTAACCTTACGTTACGTCGATTTCACAACGCACCAGTCGTAATCGGTTTCCTGTCAAATCGCATTTTCTTACGATAAAACGACGTAGTCGTAAGTAAATCTGCCTTCTTACGTCGACAGGAAACCAGGCTTAATCGGTTTCCTGTCAAATCTCATTTCCTTACGATAAAACGACGTAATCGTAAGTAAATCTGCCTTCTTACGTCGACAGGAAACCAGGCTTAATTTCGGTATCTCCACTCGGGCCGTCTCGGACTGACTCGACTAAGTTTTGATACGATACCGTGTTAATATTTATAGGAACCAGAGCAGGCACTTCACAACACAACGAGTGCGGATCGTATCATTTGTAGACAGCTGTTTGAGCAGAGCAATCAAAGCTAATCTAATGATTTGTTGACACCCCTATCTTCCAGTCGATTTCACATGATTCGGCAAAAGGCGCAGTGTAAATCCCTATATCATTATTAGGCCCTACTTAATGCTTGTGGTACACCACGTAGATAGTTCTGAAAAGAACTGTTGTTTGTTGAGAATGCCTCGACGTTTCGATTGAGTTGCTTCAATCGTCTTCAGAAGAATAATATCTGCAGAGAATCCAAACAGGGAAATACCCTGTAGTTTGGAAATTGAGATTGCTGCTGATTGGTGGAAAACTAAACAATAACTGCATTATTATTATTATTATTATTATTATTATTATTATTATTATTATTATTATTATTATTATTATTATTATTATTATTATTAAGCAAGCTTGCTGGTTTGTTTGAAGCATGACGTTCCCATACCCAGCACGTCTTTTCCGGCCTACTTGATGATAAATCCCCTATAGGCCTAGGTTCTTTTTTAAATGTTCGCATACACGTAACTGTACACTAAGATATCTATACTTACGTTTGGCTACGACTGCAGGCACTGGGCGAGTGGCCGTGGCTTGAGGGTAGCCAACAATAGAAACTACAATGAGGTTGCCGATTACAATGACCCCAATGATTGTAGTGCTGATAGAGCTGGAAAAACGATACCTTAAGAATTGATACAACACAAATTTGATAACAACAACAAAATTGTCTTTAAACGCTTTCGAATTCAATTACAAAACAACTTTAATTTTTTTTTAAATTGTCTTTATCGTTATTTTTATATTGATGTTTGTTTTTCTTTTTGTCTTCTTAGCTGTTGAGAAATGATTAGCTACTGTGAGGGCTGGTTGTCTCAGTCTAATAGATCTGAGGTGTTCTGTGAATCTGTCTGCCATAGGACGTTTAGTTTCACCAATACAGATAACATCACATTTAATGCATAAACTGTATATACTGTCTCTTATACACATATAGGCCTATAGTTATTACATAATAATGTAGGCCTACCCGTAATGAATACCCAGATACGTAAAATTGGCTGAATGGTGGCACAGATAAACAGGTAAGCAAGCACAATAAATGATCATGTGTTGTGTTGTTGGAAAGCATATAAGCTAAAGGTAAAGGTTCGAAACCTGAAGCAGGCCGGAGTGCCCGTCTCTCTTACTTTAGTGTTTGGGCCAGACTGTGCAAGGCTGGGGGGGGGGGGGTTCGCCACTCCTCCCGCACTGCAGTCTGTTTACCTTCCCAGCTGAGAGTCCGAGCTACAACCGTTGCGCCAACCGCTTCTACAAGGATTGTATTATAAATTGTCAAGTATGAGACATTCCAAACACTCCTGAGTACTGCAATTGTTGTGTGTTTAACAGTTATTTCAACATTGCGATAGTTGCTAATATAATAGCCTGTGAGCAGTGCACACTGCCTTTTAGATTGTACTTCCATCAAACTTATACTCAATCATGCAAATCCCTCCAGAACTCGGGTAATTTTGGCCTTCCACTGTGCTTCGATAGTTTGCATTTGGTTGTTCATCACAAGCTGGTGTATTAATGAAATAGTTGACATAACTGGAAAAAAAATGTTTATCATTAACATTGGCCTAATGCAATTATTATACAGATGCACAAAATACTGTAGTGTGATAATAAATACAAAATCAAGGAGATGCATGTTGACATATAGAGAGGTCCACTTTTTCAAGTCAAATTCTTGCCTTTGAAATTCAGTCTCGGCCATTCTTGAATATCATCTTTCCACATGTTATTTAATAGGCCTACTTGAAAATTACGTTTAAAACATTTCACCAAAACTGTAGGACTAAATACTAAGATATAGCATGGCCTTGGTTTAGAGCGTTGTAGTAGGCCTAGGACTCGGCTAGTAGTAATACTAGGCCTAGGCGATAGCATTTATTAAATAATATTTATATCATTTTTATGGTCTGTTTAAAATAATAACAGATGACAAATTAGCAGATAGCCTACATAGGAAACAGACGTCGGTGCCATGTCATCCAGTAGCCTACTGACACACAGACAGAGCAATCTTCTAAGCTAAACAAAAAAAAATAAGAAAAGAAAATCGAATCAGTGGTAATGAATAGGCACGTATTTATAAACATTGTACCACGTCACACAGGGTTCACCTAAACCATGTTTAAGCAAAGAACTTAAATAGCAGAAGAATGAGCTACTCTGCGTATTTGTATTAAAATTCATGGAACATCCGCCCTGGAACATCCGAATGGGATAAAATTTGACCATTTTACTAAGTGGAGAAATTAAGGAAACAAACGAACCAGAGCGGCACCTTTATTATTGCTATATAGCGCCGCCGCGCGGACGGAGTAAAATTGCTCTCCGTGTACACACAATGCCTTTCGAACGGATGTTCCACTATACTGGGAAGCTGCTCTATCTTCTGCTGTTTATTACCTTTGGTTTAAGTCAGTCGTGTGTTTCATTTTTAAAATCATGAGCATATATATATATATATAACGGAAATTATGTAGGAGAAACCGGTGTTACATTAGATCTAGGTTTAATAACCACAAAACCACCATAAGAAATAAAGACTCTAATCATATTGTAGCTTTGCAATTTAATTCTGGTAATAATGACATTAACGATATGCGCTTTATATGTTCCGACTTCAAATCTACTAAGGATAGACGCTGCGAAGAAACCAAATGGATTCACCGCCTAAAACCCCATGTTAATGGCTTTAAGAATGATGGAGGTATAGTTCATGACTATATGCTTTTGGTAATAGTTAAACCTATGTACCGTAGCTTCGATAACATTCATGATTTTCTGTTACCTTATATTAAGGTATTGAAATCGTACAAAGTCCATAATTATTCTAATTAAAATTGCACTCATTCAAAATCTAATATTAAATTATCACAACATGAAAGCCAAACACCCTTAAGGGACACACATCAAAAAACATCAAGAAATTATAATCCTCATAAAAAATCCATTATAATTACAATTATAATTACAATCACTTATGAAAATTATTATTAATAGCATTATAATTATTATTAACAATTGAAAAAAAGATAAACATATATATATATAAATTGAGACTATACAAATCCATAATTATTATAATAAAATACAATTATTTTGATAATTTTAATTATTATTATAATTATTATTATTATTATTAAAAATTGGAATATAAGATTTACATAAAAAAAGAGAACTTTCCATAATTCACAACAAGAACAGAAACAACCTCAAGAGAAACACATCAAAATCCAAAAAAAAAAAAACACATCAAGGCAACACACCAATAAACTTCACCAAAAAGAGAAAAGAAATTTAAAAAAAGAAAAGACTACTACTACACAAGATTCATCACAACCGATGACAGTAACAATCATTCAAAAAATACAACAAGAAGGCCAAGAACATAGAAAATTATCAAATCGCAGAGCCATGCCAAGACCAGTCAGGGGAAGGAGGGAATGGGCGATTATGTATTAGTTAGTTGTTTTTGTTAATTAGACGGCAAGAGCTGGATAACAAGAATTTCTGAACCTTTTAGTTTTACAAAAGAATTCACTTCAATCCTTAGAGTTCATAAATACCCTACCGCAAACTTCTCCCCAGTTTCAGTTAAGGCATCAGGTAAGATTGTTTCGAGGCTCTTAGAAAATTCAAGTAAAGGATTCCCTTCTAACCTTAATTGTTAAAGATTAAAGCTAATGCCTGATGATATGAGATAAATTGCTGACCCAGATTAATTCTGCAAGCCCGTTTAGGTAGAATCGGTTGCCCAGGACAACTTAGGCGTAACTATAATAGCTTACTAAGTTTTAACTACAACAATAATTATAAAAACAATGACTTTTTCAGCTACTGCTGGGAAAAGCCAATGACTGGACAAATAAAAAATTGCTTTTTTGCTTTTAGCACAATTTTCTTCACTTTTTGGTATTAATATTATTACCGTATCATTATCATTACCGTCATCATCACTATTATTACTAATAGGGCCTAGTAGTATTATTAAACAAAACTTTATTACAGCTTACAAAAGGATAAAACCAAAACTGAACCATACATTATCACGTCTCTGTATCTTAAAAGACCTGGCCTGGAATTTTTGGATTGAAGATGAATTTTTTCGTTGAGTTTGATAAATCCACCCCGAGCGGTAAAGCCGTTATATAATCCCCAAAATTTTATTTTTTTGATTATCGTTTATATGGTTTATTAGTAGACGTTTATTGTGGGTCTCTACCAGAGCACGGGTCACAAACATGATATAGTAGAAGGAGTCAATCCTAGAATGTACAGCATTTAATTCATCACCAAACTCCGTGTTTTGTTTGCTTTTTTTTTGTTTTTGTTTTTTGTTTTAGTTTTTATTTGTAATCGCATAAAAAGTGACACGTCGTCCTCGGAGTTGACTATTACTATCACATAGCGTGGTCAACAAAATGATGTATAACAAACCATGTTCATTTTATATTTCTTTTTTGCGTAAACAATTCACGCTTAGGCCTATGTGTATAATGTGTGCTGATGCATATTTACATATTTTAGAAGTAATTCATTTTGAGTGTTCCCAGGAAGGAATTTGAATTGGCTAGCAAAAAAAGCTTTAAAATACTAACACTGTGTACAAAGAGAGGGTGGGGAGGGGGAATACGTCCCTGATTCATGAGTGTGCGCAAATATATGGAGTGAATATGATACATTCGTACGTAAGCCTTCGATGTATATGTCCTTAGTAAATAAAATGCGAGATGCTCATAACTTTCTAAACAACTAAATTCACCCGAAATTTAAGCATAACAATAAAAGAAATCTGTTGAAAGTTTGTATTCTCATATAAAATTTATTGATCATTAAGCTATGTTACTATATTTACTGTATTCAGATAAACACCTCTATTTAAACTTTCCCTCGACACGTCCCCATCAAAATAAATTTCCATGGGCATATTTTTGTCGTTTATTCGAATAGATACGTTATGCAAGTGAAAGAGACGTTTATTCGAATAGATACGTTATGCAAGTGAAAGAGAGCATATGTAACAACACGTTCCCAAAACTATCGCAGTTAAAATTATAATAAATTTGAACATTAAATGCAACTTGATTAGTCTTGATTAGTAGGTATTTAAAGTTGCTTACAAAAATTTAACGCCCGTCTTCTTAAAACGAACTTCGATCGAACTAGCTAGAACTTTTAAGTAGTTGCAACTTAAATTTGTATTCATAAACAACGTAGTCGAAGATCTAACTACACTTCTAAAGTTCGTTTTAAGAATACCGGGGATAAGGGTTATCAAGCTCGTATGATTGTTAGCAGTGGATCATTCCTTTAATATTATGCTATTGACTCAAAGAACGTAATTTGGTAATTTTGGTTCTTGAGCAAGAGGTGGATATGCTACGCCCGAAGGTGGTGGATGTGCGCCATTAGGGTGAGGGTATTCCTGCTGTTGTAGGGGATTGGAGACCGGCGGAGTGAAGTGTGACTGTTGAACAACTGCCGGAGCAGGCTGAGTTTGTTCTGAAAAAAAAAATGATATGTTACAAATCACACGATAAAAATATTGTTGTGGAGAAAAACCACCATACTGATAAATGTAAAGTATAGGCCTATAGATTTTTTTTAAATGTATGTTACTAGGCCTATAGTTTTGAACAAGGCATTGCCTCTTTCGGTGTGATTACGATAAGTTAGTTTTGAAGCGGTACCGGTTGGTGCCTTGGATGCGCTTGGTCTCTCAACCTTAAGGTCGGAGGTTCGATGGACCTTTGCTATGAATTTCGCTTGTGTCCTTGGGCTCAAAATTTATTTCAAAAGGCGTCGGGGGATAATGGTATGTTTGTTGTTCCTCGTCCACACCTTCAATATTTTAAAAATAGTTTTTAATACAAAGGTAAATCCTTTCTTAATTCATTATCTTTTCTTGATCTTAACGTTTCCTAAAGTCCAAACTTATATCCCTTTTAAATAAAAATTAGCAATTCTTTGCTTTTTAGTTGTTTTAACTTTTTTATCTTTTGATATTTTAAAGATTCTGAGTGCAATGTATATTTTTGCAATTGTATTTTTACTTCTTTTTGCAGTTGTTTCCTGTTTTTGAATGCAATTCGTTGTTCTTGCAACTTTTGGATTTTAACTTTGGAATTGTATGCATTTCTTGCAATTTTAAATTCTCTCATAGGCCTATTTGTATTCTCTGAAGAATTTTATATCTGTATTTTGAATTGATGTGGAAGTTCAAGTCAGCATTGCTGTTAGAGTCACCCTCTCAAAATATTGTTGAACAAATAAATAAATAAATAATCCCATTTTTTGTATAAATAGGTTCTTTTTAAATGAATTCTCAAAATATTGTTGAACAAATAAATAAATAAATAATCCCATTTTTTGTATAAATAGGTTCTTTTTAAATGAATTCTCAGTAACGTATATTAAAGAGATATACTTACGTGTGGCTACGAATGTAGTCACTGGGCTAGTGGTCGTGGTTTCTTGCGCGCAGCAGCAGCCGCCACACACACAACATGCTATAATGCCACCAACAATACCAAGCAGGATGAGGACGCTGATTACAATGACCACAATGATCGCAGTGCTAATAGCACTGAAAAAAAATATACCGGTACCATAAGAATTCATACAACACAAAGATAACAACACAATTACTGTATTTTAAAACTTCAAATTCAATTACAAAATTCTTTTTTTAATTGTCCATCTTATTGTTATTTTTTATATTTTGATGTTTGTTTTATTTTATTTTATTTTTTTGTCTTTTTAACTATACTCTAGTTTCAATTTGTAAAATCTTGTCTGTATTAATCTGTAAAACAGGACACTAAAAAAAAAACCATTTTAAACGTTAGAATAGACCTGCCTGGTCTGGGTTGAACCATGTTGAATTTGGCAACGGATTGTGTTTCAAGCCTCACTCACCTCCGAAAAAAACAGATATAATAAATGAACATGCACACATACAGTACATTGTTTGGTTCCTTTTACTTTATTGAACTTTGTTAGGTGTTTATTGTTGGTGAAATAAATAATATGATATGATACTAGTTAGTACTATAAAGTACTTACTCGGGTATATCAACATAGTCATCTGATGATGAGCCTGTACCATAATACTCATCATAATCGCAACTGTAGTAGTTGCCAGATGATCCACAGCAATAGGAATCATAATACCCATCGTAATAACCTGGGCATGTCTTCTCAATATAGCCATAGTAATTATAACAGTGCTTAGTATACCCTGTAAGCAAGAAATGAAAATTTACGAATTTAGAAAGGTGAAGGTTGAAACTTTTTAATTGTTCTCTTCATCAAAAAAAATAAAGATTGAAATGACAACTTGTGCTTATGAATGAGAGCCACAAACTCCAATTTTTATAATACTAGAGAATTTTTAATTGATATTTATCACATTTATAAACGATTCTATGTGATGTACAAAAATATCTCAGAATTTATTTTTTGACAATAAAGTTGACTTGTATCTAATATGAAGATTCAAGCATAACGTTTGTAAACGCTTGTAAAGATTTTATTTCTTTTAAAGAATCTGTTTTATAGGATACGAGGCATAGGCCTACAATTTTACTTGGAAAGGGTGGAAAGTAGGGTTTAGCATTACAGGAATGCTAGTACCAAACGCTCAATAATATGATATACGGCGACAGCAAACCCCGGGGGCGGATTGCTATAAAGCGGTCTTAACTGGTGGAGTCTTAAGTTTTTAACTCCTCGAATCACTAAAGTCAATAGTAGTACTCTAGATCTAGCATTTTTTAATTACCATATGAGTGTTTCCTGTGTCAAAAACATGATTTACTATACTGTACTTCTTTATAAAACGTAACTTGTACTTTATAATAAGAGAAATCTGTATATTATCAGTACCTGGAAATGTAACAGTACGAAAGTACTATGCTTCTGCACTGTAACGCATAGGCCTATTTTAATACACTACGTAATATATGGTCTGTCTCTTATACACATCTAGATGTGTATAAGAGACAAGTGCTAATAGCGCTGAAAAAAAAATATATACCGGTACCATAAGAATTCATACAACACCAAGATAACAACACAAATACTGTATTTTAACACTTCAAATTCAATTACAAAATTCTTTTTTTAATTGTCCATCTTATTGTTATTTTTTATATTTTGATGTTTGTTTTATTTTTTTTTGTCTTTTTAACTGTACTGTAGTTTCAATTTGTCAAATCTTGTCTGTATTAATCTGTAAAACAGGACATTAAAAAAACACATTTTAAACGTTAGAATAGACCTGCCTGGTCTGGGTTGAACCATGTTGAATTTGGCAACGGATTGTGTTTCAAGCCTCACTCACCTCCGAAAAAAACAGATTTAAGAAATGAACATGCACACATACAGTACACTGTTTGGTTCCTTTTACTTTTGGTTGGGCAATCCAGCCACGTGTGTTATTTGTTTTTTGGTGTTTTATTGAACTTTGTTAGGTGTTTATTGTTGGTGAAATAAATAATATGATATGATACTAGTTTACTATAAAATACTTACTCGGGTATATCAACATAGTCATCTGATGATGAGCTTGTACCAAAATACTCATCATAATCGCAACAGTAGTAGTTGCCAGAGTATCCACAGCAATAAGAATCATAATACCCATCGTAATAACCTGGGCATGTCTTCTCAATATAGCCATAGTAATTATTATAACAGTGATCAGTATACCCTGTAAGCAAGAAATGAAAATTTACGAATTTAGAAAAGTGGAGGTTGAAACTTTTTTTATTGTTCTCTTCATCAAAAAATATAAAGATTGAAATGACAACTTGTGCTTATGAATGAGAGCCACAAACTCCAATTTTTATAATACTAGAGAATTTTTAATTGATATTTATCACATTTATAAATGGTTCTATGTGATGTACAAAAATATCTCAGAATTTATTTTTTGACAATAAAGTTGACTTGTATCTAATATAAAGATTTAAGCATAACGCTTGTAAAGATTTTATTTCTTTTAAAGAATCTGTTTTATAGGATACGAGGCACAGGCCTACAATTTTACTTGGAAAGGGTGGAAAGTAGGGTTTAGCATTACAGGAATGCTTGTACCAAACGCTCAATAATATGATATACGGCGACAGCAAACCCCGGGGCGGATTGCTATAAAGCGGTCTTAACTGGTGGTAGTCTTAAGTTCTTAACTCCTCGAATCAGTAAAGTCACTAGTAGTACTCTAGATCTAGCATTGTTTTAATTACCATATGAGTGTTTCCTGTGTCAAAAACATGATTTACTATACTGTACTTCTTTATAAAACGTAACTTGTACTTTATAATAAGAGAAATCTGTATATTATCAGTACCTGGAAATGTAACAGTACGAAAGTACTATGCTTCTGCACTGTAACGCATAGGCCTATTTTAATACACTACGTAGATGGGCTTTTCTTTTTCCATCTTTATTTCAGAGGTCAAAAACATTTTTCAATTTTTTCTTCAATCGTATATTGGTGTAGAATAGTCTTTTGTGATATGACCCTCCGTTATGGAGTTATGAATTTTTAGATAACATGAGGAAAAGAATTCAGCCTCAAAGCTTATATTATTTCTGTTGGTTACGTACCAGTGACTTGGGTTGTTTGTCATCACTTCAAGATGTCTACCGATTCGTGGAAAAGGTCGGTCAGGAGCTAAACTCGTCCTAGAGGTCGCAGTCCCCCCCTTTACCGCCAGCCGCGCGATGTAGTGAGCCTAGGGCCCTAGAGTTTGCACATCGCGACAAAAAATAGTACTATTTTTTAGGGGTATATTACTTTTTGAGGGCACTAGTGCTTTCTATTGGCCCGTTTCTTAACCAATCAGATGCCTAGAATCTATGTATGAGGTATATAATACTTTCTATTGCCCCGCTTCTTAACCAATCAGAAGCCGAGAATCTATGTATGAGCAGTATGAGCATGGAGGTATGGTAGGCCTATGAGGTATTTTCATGTGCACCAGCCGAATATAGTAAGCCTACAATTGTTTATCAGTGAGATTAATCTGCTGAATAAACAATTTTAATTACTTGGGCAAATATACAGATACGACTTTCCTTGTATCTCGACCTCCTTTGATATTCAAATTTCAAGTCTTAATTACCATTTACCTCAGCTTCAACCATAGATCACCGTTCCGCAACCTGTGGGTTACGGTGGCCCATAAGTGTCACGGCAACAACTTTCGAAATGTCACGGCCACATTTTCGAAATTCACGGCAACAACTTTCGAAACCACACGGCACACTTTAAAAAGTCACGGCATACTTTCAAAATTCACCGCACACTTAAAATAACCACGGCACACTTTCAAAATTCACGGCAACAACTTTTGAAATGTCACTTCCGCCGTGAGGTTCACGGCGGAAGTGATTGTCTCACCTCGGAAGTGATAGAAATTTAAATTCTTAAAACTTTTGGCCGCCGGTGGGAACATGGGAGTTGCTAAATACAACCACTTCAGCCTGGGCTACATATAAGTCGGACTAGCTAGGAGACCTAGCCAATGCCCAGTCCAGCTACCCGGTCACACTGTAGTATAGGCCTCATTCTCTTTCACGTTAAGCTAGGCCTATGCAGAATATGATCCTTGCCTAGGCCCCTTCTCTATGCCCATGGCTACTGAATTTACTGAATTATTATTTAATAAATACATTTTATGCAATTACAATACAGACAGGGGAAAAGTTAATATCATTAATTATTATTAACTTTCCGTCACCCCTTTCTAGAATATAGGACTATGCCATGGCAATTTTGTTTAAAAGCAATGAAACAAAATGATAAATCTTAACTTCAGCAATCACACAACACACTCACGCATGATGGTTATGAAAGGGCAAACTGGCGACGCACCTTAGTAAGGATCATGGCTTAAAAAGAAGATAAACAATCATGTTGTGTTTTTTAAACCAAAACAACCACTTCAGCCGAGGGAGCGTGGCTACTTATGGTGACGACTTGACAAGCATAATTTCAGCTGTACAACGTAGGGCCTATTAATTTATTCCTAATCTTCAAGACAAAGAGTGGGCCCTGGTAAACACGAAGTCTAGGCTTATGATCGTTTTTATTTTTTTACTGATAAAAATAATAATAATAATAATAATAATAATAATAATAATAATAATAATAATAATAATAA